TACATACCTAACTTTGACTATAACTATATATCAATTACCTACGAACTTATCCTAAACCTAAAGTTTTATCACAAATTATATAAATCTTAAATCTTTAAACTATTGTCTTTTATACCTATTAATTACTTTATTTAATAATCTTATACCTAAGTTCTTAACACAACTATTATCTTATAATAATCTGTTATAAATCTTATCATTAATACTTAAAAATTATGAATTTACTTTATGTTCTAAAAAACTTAATTCAATACCATTTTACTTAAAATCTAAGCCTGATTTCCTGTTAGGGAAAACTATTTGTGTCTCAAAACCTGTCATGCCACTTAAGACAATGAACTGCACCGTTGCCATGACGACAGCCGGAGGCTGAAGCAGGTGGAGAGTCTCTGCACGTAAAAGAACGTTCTGCTTTGGCTAAAGGCAACATAACAAAACTATTATAGCAATTATAATGTTTTAACCTGAGGTGAAACAACATACTGAAAAACCAGTATACCAGGAAATAATACCAGGAAATGACAGCTAAAAAATCTTAAGAGGAAAGACAGTTTAGAAAAAAAGAGATTTTAAAGTAATTCTGCTGCACGTTTCTCATAAAATAGAATAAGTCCAATATTGAAAATCTTAGCTATCTTAAATACACTGGTTACCATTCATATGTACACACTTGATGTTATATCCTTGTCTCCGAGGCGAGCTTCTGAATAGGCCTTCATAGGCCTTGGCCATATCGATCCATATGTTGGCTCCCAACATGGAAAGGGTGAGCCACTCTCTGGAATCCCAGGTCTGCCGGGACGCTCTCTGGGTCCCCGGGTTCCCACAGGGATGTCCCTCTGCCCTGGTCACTCTTTCTAAATGGCCCGCCGGGTTGGCCTTGGCTCAGTGACCCCCTTGCTTCCTTATGGTCCCGGCCAGCGTGTCGCTGCCAGCTTGTTTCGTGCTGACCCTCTTAGATGAGACGTCCCGGCACCCTCGGACATGTTCCCGGAGCCAGTGAAGCGGCGCAGGAACAAGCCGGCAGAGATGCGAGTGGATTGGAGAGGGACGGAAGGACGCTTGGAGAAGGCAAACGCGTCCGCACCTCGCTCGGGCCAAACTGCGCTTCTCGAAGGGCCCCTGGTGGGTCTTCAGGAATCATCTGTGGGGAAGACAGGTGAGGGAGCCACGAGAGGCAGCCTGGGGCCGTGTCCTGGGTGGGGCTCGCCGGAAGCCGGAGTGGCCAGCCGGGGTCCGAGGGCATCACGCAGGGCGATCCGCTTCCCTCGTCCTGGCGACTCGTGGGTCCCTGGCTGCAGGGTTCACGGGCGCAGCCCAGGCCACACCAAGCCCCTGAGCTTGATCCACCCACAATGCCTCCGTATTCTGGCTGCTTCTCCCTCCCCCACCCCGCTGGCAGCGAGATCTGCAGTCTCGGGCTTGGATGACCTGTCTGCCCTCGTCAACACCCGGTGTGGCCACTCGTGGAGCAATCTCGGGCAGAGGACAGGCCACGTATCCTCTTGATGTTTGGGGAATCGAGGCACAGAGGG